TTTTTATTTGCAAATCATTTGATTTAATAATGGATTATGTCCATTATTATGATTGATAAATGCACAAAAATAAAACTTATAGAAAGAAATTAGTTAATTAACAAATAAAACAAATTCATTAAATCAAATGACAAATTTTATGATAAAAGTATACATTAACTATAATTTTTACATAAATCGTATAACTTATTTCAAATAGTTAGAAACTTTATGTGTAATATTTTACAATACATGTTTAATGACATAGTTAATTATATATAAAATATTTACATAAGTACATTTACAAATATTAATATAAGTAGACATGTGTTATTTATTAGAAATCATTATTTTATTATAGAAAATAAATAAGTAAACTCTAATAGTTTTATTTAGACCTTGATTTTATATGAAAACTTATATAATAGCAGAAAATATCGGATGTATTTCACAGCAATCTATTTGAATTAGAAATTTAAAACTATAAATAGAAATAATAGTAATAATTGAAAATAAAGTTTAATAAATAGATGAAAACACAAACCGCATAAAAGACAGGCATAGTTAGAGCACCGAGAGGTCCAAATTGAATACCAATTTTCTTATTAGAGTAAAGTTTCTCGAAATAAGTCATTAATTTAATTTTAAACCTCAACCGGAAGGGCCAGCCCTTGATAATCCACTGGAGTTGTGCCAAATGTTTGGCTTGTAAATGCAATTTGAATGATAAATAAGCCACAAAGAATTGAAACACAAATATAACGACAATCAATATAATAGTGACCAAACCTGCCACTAATTTAACAATAAGGGAAAGGGATCCAAATAGCAACTGATACCATGATATGAGATTAATTGGCACCAGTGTTACGATACCGACAAATACTATTGGACTCCAAAACTTGTTTAGTTTCTGTATTTCACGACATAGACTACAGTGTTGGTCAATGAAATTGCGGACCTCTCGGTACGTATCCATACTATTAGTCGCGAGTTTGTTACGAAAGTAGAAAACTTTGCTTAATCTCTGGTTAATGGTATCGATGAGTCGGTGTAAGCCGTAAGTATAAACAATTATTAAATACACCAAAAACCACGCATCACTTAAATATGTGAATAATAAAACATAATTAATTACTTGCGGTATAAATGATACACAAAATTCTCCTATCGTATAGTTGTCCACAATTATCTCGACAATCATTATAGACATTGCGATGACTTTCAAATAACATGTAAAGTTTTAATTGAATTAAAATTAAAGATAACTTTAGTATGAAAAACTTATTTATAATATAAATACTTACCTACAACTAAATGCATAATCAAGATTAAATTCATAAAAGATCTTGCCAATAATTTCATTTTGTTTATATCATCAAGCTTAATATTATCATAAATTATTGGAATAGTAAGTGACTTTATTCGACCCCTAAGCATAATAATTGCTTCAATCCATGTTATGGGACACCGGGATGCTGTCAAATGGATACTTTTGAATATAACCAACGCGAATAAAATGCCTAAAATAGTCAAGTATCTCGAATATAATGGTATGCCTCCCATAAATATTGATAGGTCATTCAATAGTTTGAGTGTATTGTAGTCACTATTACTGAAAATGATTAATTTTGCAAGATCGAAAATATATAAGTAATATATTATATATTCAATAGTTGCGGGCTTTTTATATAAATAATATATGCCTTCGAGTCGATTCAAATAGAAATTAATAAAATTAAAATCCATCTCTTGATATATTTTTAATTATTTAATAAATTAATTAAAATCAAATTCAGTAATTTTTAATACAGTACATAACATTATTATATATTTTTATTTAAAAATTCTGTATGTACAAGTATTCAGTACAAATTCATCAAATGACAAATCAGATAATTACAAAGATAATCAAATAGATACATTAATTATACATAAATCGTATAAATTTAGTTCAAATTGTTAGAAACTTAGAAACTTTATCAGTAATATTGTACAATAAATGTTTAATGACACAATTAACTATATGAAAAATATTTACTGTATACAGTAGAGTACAAGTGTGCTATTTATTAAATTTAAAAATCATTATCTCATTATAATATCAATGGTATTTTATTATAGAAAATCAATAATTAAACTCAAATAGTTTTATTTACAGAGAATAATTTTTATTATGATTTATATTATAAGTTTATAAACCATTTAAACTTATATTTAATAATAACTTTTATTTTTGTTTTTACAATGTATTAAAATCTGTTGCTAATGAGAATACTGTCCTTGTATTTTTTTTATCTGCCTACTTATTGAAAATCATTATCATATGATATGAAAATTAATATTTAGTATCTAATATTTTCAATCATCAATAATTTCTAATTAATTATAAAATACTGATTAGTTAAATATAACTTAATCTCTCTCTCTCTCTCTCCCTTTAATCTAAAATTTATTCATATTTTAAAATGTAAAACATTTTCCCTAAACTTTATTAAAGTTTATATAAAAAATAATTAATTAAATTCTCGACAAATTAAAACATTTTTCATTTGAATTCACATTATATTCAATAGAGGGCGAGATTATCAACTGATAAAACACATGACTTTCAAACACATGTTTACCAATAGTTTTGCGTTGAGTTTACCCTTAATTCACTACTAAATCAGTGATTAATATATGATTTATTTGACTAATTGTAATGAAAAATTAATACAAACATCAATGCATTGAATGAGTCTATGTATGCATTGAATGTCATTCATCCGTTTCTGTCGGACAATAAGTTTTGCATTTGTTTACCGTTTATTACAATTGACACTAATTTTGGACACAATTATAGGTTTGTAGTAAAAAAAAGTTTGTCATAACCTCTGACCCCACGCACTACCCCTCCATACAACCCATTTGACCCTCAAATGAATGGACAGGTAGGTTAGGTTAGGTCATGTAACTTATATGAGGGTGGGGGTGGGAACGCCGTCTAAAATATGATTTAATTGGATCTAATGAATGGTTATGTCTTTGCAGTGGTGGTGACAGGGAAGTGATGGCCCACAAGAAGCCTGATGTCTGCAAAGAGCACTCATGTAAACTGAATAAGTGTTTGTATGAAACCAATTACCAAATGTTTAGATGTCAGCAACACTTGGATGATATGATCGACTGTTGCCGAAAGTGGGGTCACCAGGCGTTCAGCTGCGAGGGATTCATGTGGATGTTTAAGGAGGAGTTCCCCGATAAGACTGGTCCGGGTGGTCGTGGTGGTGAGCCTAAGACTGGTGATAATAAGCCCACCACTGGTGATAAACCCGATGATAACAAGGATAATAAGAAGTAATTTAGTTGTCAATTGGATTTGTGTTTGTTTTTTAGGCGTTAGTATTTGAATTTAGGTTTAATTTAATTGTAAATATTTTTCATGTAATAAATAGGCTTTTAATGAATTTATTATAAATAAAACTCACGTTTTGAGTGACAAAAGTGTTTTGTAATTGAATTTGTGTTTGAAAAATATGCAAAATTCTCTATAACTATAAACTGATTATTTAATAGTTAAGTACCAGTATATTTAAATAGTTGATATTGTGTAAATTATGGTACTAAGTAATTAGGCTTATATTAAATTAAATTAAATTAGGATTATCTATTAATTAGATTTGACATTTAATTAACTAAATACTGTATACGGTACAATAATCTCTTACCCCTGATATACGTCGACCCATACTCTCAACTAATGCCACAGAATATTAATTACAAAAATAATTACTTTTTAATAACAGTAACACTAAACCATATTTGCAGTGAATCTACAAATTATATCGTTTTCAATATCTCTGTAATGAAACGTATAAATCATCACAAGTTTTGACTATTTTTTGGCTCAAAAGATGTCAAAATTATTTTTAAAAACACTGATAGTGTCACTCATATTGAGCTACGCCTACTGTGGGAGACCTTCCGGTGGCCGTCGTGATGGCGACGGTGATCCTGGCCGAGGACCTCCCGGTGGTGGCCCCCCAGGCGGCAAGAAAAATAAGAAAGCGTGGGTCGACCCGCGCTTCCTGGACCCCATGTATGGCAATATGAAAGTGAAACAAATGCCAGTCTTTAAGCTAACGGCTGCCGATATCGGGTCGGGCGCCGCCATCGACCAGTACTTCTGGCACATCGATCAACAGACACGTATGGAAGACCAGGAACGGGAGGAAAGGCGTCGCGCGCGCTATGAGGCGCGGATGGCCAAAATGAATGAGCAAAAGGCGTGGCGACAACGGGCCAGACAGGGCGTCGCGAACGGCATGTACGGAGCGCCGGGACGTTACGATGGAGGACTGTATCAGCAAAGGCAGCGTTCGCTGCTAAAGCCGGGCGGGTTTGTGGAGTCGAAAGTCGGCGAAAAGGTTAACATTCCTCTACAGACGGCTACTCCGGACATACCGGCGGATGTGATGGCGTACTACGAACAGAGCCGTAAGAACGACATGGCGTTGGCCGAAGAGATCATGCGTAAGGAGAACGAGAAGCTGAGGAGAGAGACCTACTTCAAGAAGAACAAGAAGAAGCTGTTGACCCGTCCGATGGGCGATCACGAGTGGAAGGACGTGGCCGGAGAGGGCGGTAAAGGTGGTGGCGATGATGTCGATGACATGAATAAGAAGAATGAAATTAAGGGCGAAGGAGGTGAGGAGGGCCTCAAGAATTTCAGTTTCATTAAAAAGGGTGATCTCTTAGATGAGGATCAAAACGATGGCAAGAAGAAGAAGCCCAAGAATGTGACGTTGGCTGAGAGAAAGCATAAGGAGGCCCCCAAAGGGTGATCACATGCCTTAAGCTGTTTTAATGTGACATTTGTTTGTAGTTTAACTGATTTTTAGTTTTGTTTTTTTGGTTTAATTAATAAATTTGTGTAAAAATAATGAATTGTTTTTTGTATTGTTTTTTTGATAAATTTCTATCTCTGACTCTCATTATTGATCTTAAATTAAGATTCTTAATCATGTAATGTGTAAAAATAGTCTAGAATAGTCTAGAATAGTCTACGATACTCATAATATCCAGGTGCAAAAGTTACTAGGAGTTTTTATTAATATTAATTTAAGTTACTATATGAAAGCAAATTTAATTAACGATTGTAACTGAAATATAATAATAAATTGCATAAAATTACAATAGATTTTATTTAACATAAATAAATAATTAATTAAAATGTTTTAAAATAACTTTCTCGTACAGTATAACGAGAAA